AAGCAGTGTTTCGGCGATGAATTTACTTGGGCGCCAAGCTGCGCTGGCGAACCCGAAACTCTGACACCATACTCCAAACACAACCGTGCACAACTAGTTTTGGTGCTTGAGTTTTCAGCTCGAGCAATTCTAGGCGCCAGTTTTGCATTTCCAGCGGCGTGAAACCAATAAGAGAGCGAAAGCTAGGCTAATTTCGCATCATCTCAGGCTCCCGAGCTCGGTGGGCCCAATAACATGGGTATCTTAAGGCCACGATAAGAGGTACAACAAGGTACTATAAGGGTATTCCAGTGAAGTGCTAGCTTGCAAGCATCTTGCACCCGAATAGCTACTTAAACCTACTTAACATGCACATGCCTTGCAGGTCCCTAGGGCTCCAAGTGATCAAATACTACCTACTTTGGGGTTTAAAGTCTGTAAATAGTACTTACATTGGGCTATTTGGAGGCTCAGGCGACCCTAAACCCTAGACCCTGAACCCTAAACCCTAAACCCTAAAGCTAGATCCTGTGAGCCAGAGCTGTTCTCGGACCTTACACTTGGGCTTTGATGTTGGTTTTCGATTTGAAAGTCCGGGTATGGGGGTTCCCGAAAATAGGGGACCCTAATATAGTACCCTAAATAGTAGGATCCTTATTATAAGGACCCCCAAAATAAGGTATCCCTTATTTTCGGAAACTCCCATATAGGGTTTCGAGGCCAGTGGAGAAGTGGAGGCTTTTGAAATTGTGGCTTGAGGGTTTGATCACATACACGTGCAGGAACAGCCTATCTTTCATATGCAGGTGTTATAGTAGGGACTTGGGAACAGACGTAGGCCAGAAGGAAACCGCGTGGAGGTCTGTCCTGCTAAGTATGCAGGGTTTACAAGATTATGCGGGTTCAGGGCTGATCGTAGACTTTAGACCCTAAACCCAAGGCCCTAAACCCCCAACCCTTAGCCGGAATTACAGGCTTAAAGGTCAGGACTCTTCGAAAGCTGCTCAGGTAGCACATGTCCATGGAGTGGTTGTGAATGTTGGCGCTGTAGTCAACTTCTCCGATAGCTCAGTGAGTCCTATGCCCTAAACCTTAGATCCCAAGCCCCCAAATCCCTAAATCCTTAAAATCGATAGAGCCCTAAACCCTAAACCCAAAGCTCCCCGTAAGTTGAGCTTGGAGGCTTGCGATGTTTGTACTCATGACCCATACGGCTCCATGTGCCAACGTACCTACATAGTATATACTTCGGCCTTAAGGGGTTCGTACATAGGTACAGTATATACTTTATAGGTACATAGAGCCATATAAGGGTAAATTACTCGACGCTAACCTCACTCTTGTTGGATCATTTGCGCAGAGGCCCCACACATATTCGGACATTTCCGAAGCCGCGATGCTTGGCTGTTTCCGCGGTAGCGTTGTAAGCACCGAGGTTTGTGCTGGGGTGGGTGAGGCTGAAGTTGAGGGCAGACGACTCAAACTAGCTTCGGCTCTTTAACCCTATGCTCCCAAGGACCTTATAGTTAGGGCCCTAGACCCCTTTAAGGACCCAAAAATAAGCTGGAAGCATACGGTAACCTGTTAACAGATTTGGGTTGGTGTGTCGACCAGATGACAAGATTCCAATCAGCTCGACAAGCGGGAACCCATGGGCTTTGTGGGGTGTTGCCAATCACGGCTCGCATGGCTGCCCATGGACCTTCATGTCCCCCTAAACCCCAAGATTCTCTGTCTGCCGTACGTCGGGAATGTAGGAGCGGACCTTAAATCTCAACTCGAAACTCGCATGTAGATGGTTGCTGTCAAGTGATTTTACGAAGGAGGCCTCGGTAAAGGGCTTACAGGCGTTGACAGCTTCTGGGCTTAGCTTAGCGGCTTATGAGGTATATGAGCTTGAGGCTTGGAGGGTCCTAAACCCTAACCCCATGGTCCGGGGTTTACCATAATGACCTAAGTACCTTCAGAATCGAAAGTAGGGCTTCCACAGAAGTAATTATTCTCATGTTTTAGGGTTAGCATACCGCACGAAGGAACCCTTAAAGGATTTTTTCGGGTCAAATAAAGGAACTCTTATAGGTACGTAGGACCCTTTAGGTGTTGAGCGGGGCTTCGTCGGGATACAAGCTTGGGATCTTGAGGCTACCTAGGCATCCCTTTTTTCACTGCCGTGGGGCACCGTCGGCATCCCCTGCGCCGCTAAGAACTACGGACACGCTGAATGCTAAACCTTATAACCTAGGTGATAATTACCTATATACTGTTTGATTCGAACCAGTTATGAGCCCTAAACCCCGATCTCATACCCCAAAAATGCAGTAGAAGTGAGGCTCCAGATGGCTTGCAGCCTAATGACCTAGACTGTAAACCCTAGACCCGGAACCCTTACAGTGACGGTTCAATACCATAAAGCCTATCCCCCAAACCCAACCCTGAACACTGCAAGCGCGTAACCTTCTATCCTGAACCTTTTTGACCCTTGTAGATCCAACCCCTAAACCCCTAAACTCTCATAGATCCCTTAGAGACCCCTTGAAAGGAAACTCTGAACCCTGAGGTTATCTCTTCTAAGCTTCTGGGCTCACTCAGGAGCACGTTCGGCGCAGCTACGGAGGCCGCGGCCGAAAGACTGCGAGAGGTCAAGGCCAAGTGCTCTTAGGCTTCCTCAAGAGGATCGTGGTTTAGGGGGTTCCTTGAAAGGGATTTCTTCAGGTTCCTTTAAAGGGAATCGGTACCATAATATGGGTTTAAGGGGTTCCTTTAAAGGGATTTCTGAAGGTTCCTCTAAAGGATCTGCTTCAGGGTCCCATAAGGGATCTACATGGGTACTATATGGGTTTAGGGGTTCTTTTAAAGGATCTATAAGGGTTCCTTTAAAGGGATAGGATCTCGACTACTTTAAGGCCAAAGTACATGCTATGTAGGTACATGGACGGACCCCTAGGGATGGGGCTCAAATTCACGGCTGCCCACGGCAGGTAACCGGGCCTCTACGGCTCAAGTTTAGAGGTTTAGGTTTAGGAAATCTGATTCCTGTACAATCTTCGAGTGTCGTCGACCTCCAAACTACCACGATTTGTCAAGATTTTGTCGAGGTTTACTGGTTCCATGTGGTATTGGTAGAGGGGCATCATGAGCCATGATCGCTCGAAGTCCGGCACCTCGCGTACAGCACCGGTGCTGCTCCTTCGGCTTCGCGTCCGCCTCCGGGTGCTGCGGCGTCCTCCAGTGGCAGTGGGCTACCCGAGCCCAAAGGGTCCTAAGTACTGTTATTGGGGATACTTCCCTAGATCATAATAGTAATTCTTAGTATAGAAACCCTACATTCTACTATAGGTACTTGGGACCTTACGGGGAGCTCCGGCTACTTGCCTGAAGGGCGACGTGAAGAGCCTGGGGCTTAGGAGCATTCACCCGATTTCATCGGGTCTGCAGGCCTTGACTGACATGCTTAAGGGTTTAGGGTTAAGGGTTTAGGGTTTAGGGTTTAGGGTTTAGGGTTTACAGCTCGGAGGAACGAGGAACCGGCCCGCGATTTGCGTCTGTTCAGTGGCCATCTGCAGAGGAGGCTGAACCTGCTGCATGCAAGAATGCTTCTCAACAATCCCGACATCCAAGACTGTGGAGAGTGGTCTGGGATTTTCGCAGGCTGCAGAAAACGACCCTCCAACATAATTGTCCTTCAGCAACACTGGAGTCTAGGGCCAAGACAGAGCATCCTAAAGACTGAACCATCTCGCCTCACCCTAAGGATCCCAGGCGTTGTAATCCTCGAACCCTATACCCTAGTATGGAGGCCAGAAAAGCTACCAATACTGTTCCTGCCAGTTCCTGATATGTTTGTACGGTAGAACCCCAGTTTAATCCTTACTTGGAGGTTCATGGATAGTTATTAGTGGGGTTATAAGTACGGTAACTATAATTATAACCCATACTAGGGACTTACAGCCCTACTTATAACTACCCATGAACCTCCAAGGAACACCTCAGCAACCCCGAACCCTAAGGGCCTCTGTGATTGGTTTAGGGTTTAGGGTTTGGGGTTTAGGGGTTTGGGGTTAAGGGTTTAGGGGTTTGGGGTTTAGGGGTTTGAGGTTTGGGGTAGGGGTTTAGGGTTTGGGGGTTTAGGGTTTAGGGGTCGGTCTCATAGGAGCTCCAATTGATCAAAAGCATACACCTTTCACGTAATAACCTCTTCATGCACCATCAACCGAAAACACACCCCAACGGATCACATGTACCTATAAGGGCGACAATGGGGAATGGTACACGAAGTTGAGTCATTTAACAATGTTCCTTGTACAGATGCAATTCTTCTACTGTGTAGCTACTTTAAAATGCCAACTTATCCGCGTGGTTAAGGGTTTATAGCGTTTAGGGCTTAATTAGGGTGTAAGGAACCTTCATCCAAGTAAGATCTTGGTGCAGTGCGCGAGGAAGAGATCGAAGCGCTCCGCGCCGCCGAGAGCAAACGCACCGAGCGCCACATCCGCGCGGGCGTGCAGCGAATCTGGCTGGTACCCGGACTTCGTTTATGTTTTTGGTGGTTTTTGGGGTGCAATAATCTTCTTATATAGCATAATAGGGTATGAGATCCAAAACGGGGTTTAGGGTTTCAGGTCTTCGTTTTTCGATTGTGCTTTTGGGGTTAAGGGCTCAGGGTTCGGGTTGTAGGGTTGAGGGCTCAGGGCTTACTTAGGCTTGTCGGGCTTAGGATTATCTAGGCCCGTTCTTGATGTGCCTAGACCCCAAACCCTAAACCGTAGTTCGCACTTGTTGTTGGCCGAGTGTTTTGTGGTCAAGCTGGGTGTTGGAGGTCTAGAGGTTTCTGTGTGTGTGTGTACACAAAACCCTAAACCTTAAACCCTAAACATAAACCCTAAATCCCAAGTTCAGAACCCACAAAGTCCTTAAACCGTAAACCTAAACCCTGAAACCCAAGCCCCAAGCCCAAAACGTATGAGCTTCGAGGGCTTCGGGATTTAGGGTTGCAAGACAAGGTTGATTTTTTTTTGAGGTCAGTTCGATTCTTGAGCAAATAACTCGAGCTTGGTGTGTTTACAGCTGTAAGTACTTGGAGGTTCATGGGTAGTTATGATTATAAGTCCCCTTGTAGTTACCCTACTTCTGACCCTACTTATAACTACCCATGAACCTCCAAGTATAGGGCTTGGCCATAAGCTACTTTGATGCTTGCTTTGCTTTGCTTTTGCCTTTACTGCATGTGGGAGAAACCCCTATACCCTAAACCCCTAAACCCTAAACGCCTAAACCCCTAAACCCCTAAACCCCTGAACAAACCTCTCAGCCGCCAACCCTCAGCGGTTCGCAATTCCGAGCCATGAGGCGACCCACCTCTGTCTGGCTGGCGCGGCGTTTGTGTGGCCCGGTTGCAGGAATGACGGCCTTACTTACTGCGTTGGAATGTATTGTTTAGGGTGCAATAATTTCAGGGGTCTGACAATAATACAGGGAACCTAGACCCTATAAACCTAAATCCTAAACCCTGAACCCTAAACCCTGCACCCTAAACCCTAAACCCTAAACCCTAACCCTACCCTAAACCCCAAACTCCTTTAGAACCCCAGGGTTGCTTGCTTCTTTCAGGGTTCAATAATAGAGTGAACCTAAACCCTAAACCCTGAATCCTAAACCCTAAACCCTAAACCCTAAACCCTAAACCCTAAACCTAAATCCTAAACCCTGCACCCTAAACCCTAAAACCCTTTTTGGTTTCGTCGCCTGTGAGGCTTTTCCTCTGGCGGGTCAGTGTGGCTGCCGCGTGGTTGGCGATCTTGGTGGCCCCTCGCCACCGGTTTTAGCGTTTAGCCCTAGGGCTCCATGTACCTTTATAGTAGATACTTAGGCCTGAAAGTACCTATATAGGGACCCCTTTAAGGCCCAAGTATCTGCTATAAAGGTACATGGAGCC